GTATATATATATATAAACGCTGAACAGCCGACGATATTCAAATATAATATAAATTAATCAATAATTATATACGACTATATTTACGTTTGTCAAACACTGAGATATTTACTGCTTGTTCTTAAATTTTATTATCACCGTTCAATGCAGTTGAAATGGTTAATGTAGTTACTTTATATATTATCTGAGCACGTACCTCTTCCATCACCACATCAAGGCAAGGTGCTCTAAGACCAGTGTGTTGCCAGGCCAGGTAGGCATCTACTCGTGCTCGGGCTTGCAGGTCTGCTGGATACCAGTGGTCAGCTACCTTGTATTTTGCAGCGAGATACCTCAATATTGCGACACTGTATATAAAATGTGCAAATCAAAGGTGCAAAGAAATACGGACGTTTAGGTTTACACGTTTCGCATGGTGACGATTCATATAATGTGTACAGTGCGAATCGAGCAATTCGAATAGAGGGGGCCCAGGGAAGGATCGACTTTCAGAGATAGAGGTAAATACCACCTCAGCCCAACCATCGTTTGGGCTGAGTAAGAACATTGCAATTCTGGCAACTCTGGATGCCGGGAAATTGCGCTCTCAGACTTAAAATCATTTGCATTGTTTTCGCCATATTTTCATCATTTTGAAAAAATTAAGCGGTGGGGGTGTGGGTGCGCTGACCCCCCCCCCCCCCTTGAATCTTCCTGATGTACCCTATGATTAAGGCACTCAAGTTGAACAGCCGATCTTTTTGCATCAAGTCAGCACTACCCTCTACTATACTCTCCCTTTTTGGAATAGTGATCCATTCGCTCTACAAAAATAGGATGTTCATTTTCCTTGGTTTATATTATTTTTCGCCTGACACCCATTATTTGTTTTTAATTTGCATACTTGTACTGTGTATGAATCTACTTGTTGGGCCTAAAAATATGTGTGATTAAATAATATTACCTTTCGCCGAGATAGAAATCGCCATCTTTAATCGTCGGAACAACCTGGGCAGGATTGAACGATGTGTATTCAGGACTTAAGTGATCTCCTATTGATAAAATAATATAGTATTATAATCAGTGACACATATACTGATGCGCAGCCTTTTATCCATTTTAGTAAACCTATAAATCACATTTTATTAATTTATTTATTTTATTTATTTATTTAACCAATACACATTAACAATAACAAGGTGCAGTACAATAAATTTTGGTCAGGGGCAGTTTAAGCACAATTTTACTACAACTCATTGAGAATCAGCTGCCCCATTTATAAATATAAACATAAAAAAAGACATTTAAATACATACAATAAATAGCATAATAAATAAATCATAAATCTAAAATTCAAAGTTGTTCTTAGGTACTTTACATAAAATTATATATCAGTTATTACATACTAAAAATGTTTTTTTTTTTTTTTTTAAATTACCGAAAGGGACATGTACTACGCAGGGAGAGATCCAGGGCTACGACCGCTCGCCCTCCCAAGAAAGAGAAACAAAAACACAGAAGAAAATGAAAGAAGAAATGAGAAAGAGGGCAGCGCGGTAATCCAAAACAGGCTAATTTTTTATTTAAATACCATGTTACAGGCAGTTTCTATGATCAAGCACTTCGAAACAAAAATCTCGAACACTAGCATCTTATTTCTCCTACCCAGATATTCTCTGGATCCGCCCCTGCTAAAAATATATGCAAAATTGTTGCAATCAACTGGTTTTGTAATTCATCCCCAGTCTAGCACAACGAGGGATTTTAAAGAACTTGGTTTTGTGTAATAAAAATATAAAAATATAAATCCAACTAATAGTTGAGTAACTAATGATATGTTTTTGTTTATTCTGAGTACTCTGTTTCCATTATAGCTTTACAAAAACGATATTTTTTTTCATTTATACAATTTCGAAGCTAAATGAAATTACTTCTATACAAATGTCTTAATTAAAATAAAATTGTTTAAATATTATTTTTAAATTTCTTTAGCTAACAAACAGTATAGGCATATCTTCATATATGCCTATACCGTATTCATGCATAAGAACCACTGTAACCACAGCAGAAATATTTGCTGATATACAGATACTGTACCGGTACTGAAAAAAAAAATATATATCTTAAATTTATTACCATTTATTTTAGGAGTTTATGCAAAGAATAACGTGCATAGGAACGGTATTATTTATACATCTGTCAATGATTGTTGTCAATTGCATTTGGAATACCTTTAAATCATAAAATTCAGAACAATAATAATAGTAAATGATAATTTATTATATATCAAAAATTACCCTTTTTCAGTTGTATATGTTTCCCTGTGTATGCGATCCCATTCATTTTACAAAAGATCAAAACGGCTCTGCTTGGTTGAGATACAACGTCGTAGTAAATTGTTAAAGACATCTTTTTATCTTGACTACACTGATCACGAAATGAGAAAGATTACACTCAACTATTCTATTTTATGACCACGTATCTGGAACCAGTGTGGTATTTATATATAGCAGCCAACCAGGATATAATGCCGCATGTTCTGCATTGTCATCATGACTTAGGATTATATTAAAATCATTCAAACTTAAACGTTCCGCTTCAAGGCACTTATAAGCCACCTTGCTAAAACCGCATGTTATATTTTTCCCCCGATTTGTCCAGCACAAAAACATAATGTACGGCCAGTATGGGACAAATTTCCTTTAATGTCTAATCCGAACTCTAGTGAAGAAAAGAAGTCCTTTTGAACATTCTGCAATTGCAATCAGCAGGCAGGGGGAAAAAGTCTACGTATCCATACCACTCTTTCGCACAAAAATGACAATTTAGGGGTTTCAAAGGCATATTTAATCGATTTTGGAATCTACTAATATGTAGAAAATACATATAGGCCTATACATTTTTTTCTCTCCGGCGAATCGTGGTTCTGCCCCTCCCCCGGTCCCCGCCGACGCCACCTCTGTTGGTTGGTATGCTTAAGGTAAAAAAATAAGGAAACCTTTTCGAATGTCGTGCAAGAGTTTCGTATCCTCTTTGGCAAAATACATTGGGCTTACCCTCAACATAAAGGTACGTCTACAGCAATAACTGTGAATAAATGCTATACTAATGTGACACTGGGGCAGACCAACCACATCTTGAACAATGACGAAATAGCACCGATAGTGCCAATATTTTTGATTATGAAGTTCATGTAAACCAATTAAGTTACCACAACAAAACTGCATTTCTATTTTATTTAATCTACAAAGGTAAAAAAATAAAAAACAATAAACAAGATTTTGGTACGATTGTTGTTTAACATGCATAGATTTTTTTTATCCTTTATACTGGGGATCGGGAGATTGGTGGGTAGCCTGTTTAGAAGATATCTTTAGTAGGCCTATTGGTCTCCCACAGGGCCCAGCTAAGCTTTATAAACAATAGTCCTATGATGAGGCTTAGGAAATAGAATCGTTTTTAGTCGTGGGAAAAAGTCCTGCTGTCACAGGAATTGAACCCAGGACCCTGGATTGGAAGGCAAACATCTTTGCCACCAAAGCTATTCAAATCCACTCAATCCATCGTCGGTATAGGATAAGCCTGGTATGACTCGAGTGCTGATGAAAGAAATTATAAGAAGGCCATCGTAAGCATGCATAAGCATAATAGAAATGGTATGATAATTTTACGTGTGACAAATTTTAAGTGGTTTGGCCTGTGTATATGGAGCATTAAATACAGTTTAAAATGTTGAAGAAAGTATTGGTTGTTTATGAATTTTTCTTTAGAAGTTGCCAAAAAAAAATGTCGTTTTCGCCTTTTAGTTTAGATATACAGTATAGGTTTTCTGCGGTGTCCTTTTATTCTGAATCCCCTCATGCAAATGTCCAAATCAACACTTGCTGACAGGTATCCAAACAGAACATGATACATCTTGGGAAGAGGCCAAAACAAATATAAGGGACGCAAAGCCTGCATAAAACGATTAGAAAAAAATTATACCATAGAAAAAGCATAGGGACTAGGCCTAAATGTAGGACTAACGGATACCGGTACATAATGATTTGGTACGCATCCGCTAGGTCAAGATGGGCCAATGTTATTATTATCTATGTACTCATTATTACTTCCTTTTATGATTTTATTGTAGACATCAAGTTTATCTCATTCACCTGCCAATTCCGTTTTACAATCCTCTCCCCATTCAACATTGGCCATTCGGCTTACGATTAAAATTGATGAATAATAAGTAAGTCTCATGACGCACCGAGCTAAGATGTTGCAATGTATACCCATGCACGGTGTCAAGGCCAATATAATAAAAGGGTTATTGTATATTACGCTAACAAAGCGCTACGGATTTGTATAGTAAATATGCAATAACGATGGCGGAATTTTGGATTTCCCCTTATTTTTCTCATGCAGTTAAATGTGGCATACAAAGCCACGTGTTAAGCGATCCAATGCATGGTGCAAATACTCCAAAATTTGATTTTCTATGTATCTAATACTCATTTACTCTGGGATTTTACTTACCTTTTTTCTCAATTTTCAAATAATTTAAGTTCAATTCTTTATTGCTGCAAGAGGCCACAAGCTTATTTTTTTAACCCCCCCCCCCCCCGCCAAAAAACCCCAGATAAAAACCCAGTATGCCTAGACAAACTATGCACCATGGACGTTACTCCACCTAGGTATTGATCCGCATCCTTACCTAATCAAAGTATGTATCAAGGGGTAGGAGAGGGACTTACTTCGGTTGGTCCTAGTAACCCTCGTCCCAAAAAGAATTAAACGTATGCATCCACTAAGGTATCCGAAACCTCAACAAAATTAAGCTATGCATCATGTGATAGGAGCGTTTCTTGGCTAACGTCCTGGTACCCGCATATCCCAACATATCTAAACTAATGCCTCATTGGGTAGGGTCATTTTTGTCCACTATATTTGTGCTAGTGACCACCATACTCCCATGCAATTGATAATCATGGTTGAAAAGAGTGTCTAGCAGATTTTAGAGGAACTGGAAGTTAGGAGGACATACAGAGTGGTGTAGAGGGTTTTACAATTATAGAAATACAACTGGTACAGAGAGAAATAAAACCTGTTTGATTTCAAATGGAGTAATATGGAATCTGGCAAACATGTCATGATAGGTCGAGTAAGAAAATCGTGTCAGAAAGAAGTTTAGGAAAATGAAGCTCTATGCGCTGAGAAAAATAACAAGTTATCGGATAGTCGGCCATAAATACAGCAAGAATATTCGATTGCTGGTTGAATGTGAGATTGTTGCTGGTTGAATGTCATTTGTGCTGGCTGAATCATATAATCAAAAACCCTGAGGTTTGTTACTTAGACTAACGGAAATATTCAGCACAGATGGAGATGGAGGTACCGTACTCGCGCGAATAAGCGCCCCGTTCGAATAAGCGCTCCTCGTAAGATTTTTTCAATAATCCAATCAATCCTGGGACTGTGGTTGTTGGCAAGATTTGAGCTGTAGAGTGGAAACACATTCTTCTTCGGTCAATATCAAAATGAGGATATTTCTCTTGGACAGATGAGAGCTCCGATCCCTGGACAGACAGTATATTTCCAACTTTACTTTTTTTACATATTTGTCTATGCCTAGTCCTACTCCTCTTTTTCTTTTTCCGACCTTTAGCACATTCTCATCTGTGTTTTCAAGAAAAAATACAATGATCCTGCCATCCCGCTGATCTCAATCGGCCGATGGCTAACAAGCTAACCACCACCACTAATTGCATTTGCTATTTTGCTGTTATGTAAATATTCACGCATTCTTGTCATGAGCCATGTTCTATGGACGATTACTGTATCCTTTCCGCCTAACCACCATTCGTAATGTCCTTATATAGGCCTAATCTTTTTTCATTCAAAAAGTGCTTCTTGAATTTAATAATTTCCCATAAGAACCCTTCGATTTTCATCTATTTCCATAAGCGACCCCCTCAATTTCCACTCTGTTTTCATAAGCGCCCCTCAGAAAGTGCAAAAATATTTTAAGCGCCCGGGCGCTTATTCGCGCGAGTACGGTATGTTTTATGCCTACCAAAGCCTCATTTTAAGCGGTTTACGATATGCGGAGTTTATTAGCAGTTCCTATAACAGTTTGCGAAATCACGTAAAATAATTAATTCATATTATTTTACCTGTTCATAATCAATCTAGTAAATGCATTGAGATTGGTTTAAGCTGAGACAACTAAGAGCCCAATCACACTTGAGAGTTACGTCGGTCAAGAGCCGCCTCAGCGCCGGTCCAGGGTCGGCAATTTTTAAGTGTGAACAATCAATAAATGTTTTAAGCCGGCCCTGAGCCGACCTAAAGTTAATCCGACTTTTGATTTGGCTCAGGTCCCGCAATGCGGGCTCTGGGCCGACCCAACTTTATATCTGAACGTAAGCCGAACCAGGGAGTTCTCCCAGGCCGAACCTCAGCCGGCCCAAGTTCGCTCTGATTGCTCGATTTTGACATCTTATCTAACCACAACATTTATTCGAACTGACTTGCGCGAAAACACCAATGAGAAATAAAATTGTTAAGGAAACTGTATAGTAATTTGTATTTAGTTGAACCAGGGAGTTGTTATTTAGAACAACTCCCTGGTTGAACAATTGTTTTTGAATAAAAGTTTTTATATAAGGTCTCCATATCCCTAACTAATTATTACTCACAGCCTCCGTGCGAAGCATAAGCATCATCACAAACCAAGTTGTAGGCATGGGGAATACCACGTGATACAAAGCTTACGCATGGGCATTTTGACAGATGACGACTCTCTTTTCTACAGTTAAAGAATTCCAGTAGATTAAAAATATATTGGCCTATTACAAGCTCAAGAAACCCCGTTTTTGTATAGCACAAAATAATTTAACAAGTTCATATTCCAAAATTATAACACTGTATAGCGGTATCATTTTTTCTGTGAACGTCATCCTCACCAACCACGTGCGTTTTGTGCCGACGTTCGTGAAGCTACTCAAGTGACCCCGAGGACAGAAAAAAAAAAACATAATCGTTTGTTTTTGTTATGAGCGAAGCTGGTTCTAAAAAGCGTCAAAAATTGTTTGAGAATGAACCTAATATGAAAATAATTATTATTGCCAAATAGATAGATCTCGATGCTACTTATTCACAATCAGTGTCTCCGGTCTGTGGCCAAACATTGACAGCAATATGCCTATATAGACAGTTTACAATATACAGGTATGGACTTTCGAAATCGCGAGTCTGGCTTTGCACAGAGTAAAAATCGAGCTGCGCTAATTATAGGCTTTGGTTATAATAAGAATTATCGTCGCCATAATCATGAAGCAGAATGCTATCCGCTTAAAAAATCGAAAAAGTATAAGGACAATTAAAATTAGGTTCATGTTTCGCGAAAATTCCATGTGTTTATGCTAGGTTGTGATTTACCGTTCCGCCATCAAAATGCGATCGCCTCAACTTCCTGTCTTGCAATTTATCGACCCGGCCCAAAAGAAGAAGTGTGAACGTCCGTAAGGCGGCCCTGGGCCGACTTAAAACAACTTAAAACAATAACTGTGAACGGAAATGAAGTTGAGTCGGCCCTGAGTCGGCCGTAATTTAAGGAGACCCTGGGCCGGCCTAATAAGTGTGATTGGGCTCAAAGACACGCATAAGCAGGGCGCGATTTTTTCCCCGTACGAAACATTTGCATGAAACTCTACTCGGCTCGGATTGATTCGACTCGAGTGTCTTCCCAATGTCGCGACGCTCGAGTATTCTATTACCTTTACTGTACTGTTCTTTACATATGTTTACCTACGGTAGGCCTATGAAATCTTACCGATTTATGGGATGTAGGCTACGTCTGTAACTAACTGTGAGCTTCTTGTATGTTTGTTATCAAATGTACTACAACAACAACAGTTAGTACCCCCTTATAGTAGTACCAGTGGTAAATAGGTACATTCCTATCAAAGGCTAGAGCAAAAGAGGTTAAACTAGTGGGCCTAGTTACAAGCTGAGTTAGGTCCTACCTGCTAGCCTCCCCCCCCCCCATACTAGGCCCCTAGGCCTGACACAACAGTCACGCTTCGCATGCCATTGGCTGAAATTTTGAAACAAATTTAAAACATGAAATTAAAATGGGACGGTGAATATTAAATATAATATCATATATTATATAATATCACTCCGGCATTAATGAACTTGGCCTAACTAAGCCTTGTAATGTAATTAATATTAAATAATAATAATAATAATCATAATAATATTAAATAATAATAATAATATTAATAACAATAATAATAAAATAATAATAATTATTAAATAACCATATATAATTTCGCCATTAATTAACTTAGCCTAAGCCTTGTAATCAAGAAGCACCTACATTGTACTATATTAGGCCTATAATCCAAACTCCCTGCCTTAATTTTTAGTACGGTAATTCTAGGCGGAAGCAGGTTAACTCGGCCCCCAAGTCAACTCGGCGCCAAGTCAACAAACCCCCAAGTAAACTTGGCCCCAAGTATATCGTTATTGTCATTAGTTATTCTATATACCTTTGTATAATTTTTATTAATATCATTTTAATATTATTTTTATTAATGCAGTTTTAATTATTGTAAGTGCATGTAAATGAAAAGAAATAACAAAGGCAACGATTTAAAAACACTTTAATTTTGGCTTCGCATTCAAATCTCTTGGTAAATTCAGTAAATACCGTACACATTAAATTGGGGCCGAGTTGATTTGGGGCCGAGTTAACTTGGGGCCGAGTTGACACGAATTCGTCATGACATGGTACTTAAATAATTTTCCAAAACCTAGGCAAACTAAAAAATAAAAATGTTCACAGTATGTAAGTAAAATTCAAATAGGGCCTAACACTTTTTATTATTCGTGCAGCGAAATCAAATATTACATATGTCGCTTTAAACGACCCCATTATATTAGCATGGTAACATCAATGTGTTTTTTTGAAAATCAGACAACGAGCAGCAATCCTGTATCTCAGAAGTTTTGTGTACGTTTATCGTTGGTTGATGACCTTTTGACCTCCAGAATTGAGATTTTCGAGCCGAGTCAGTCGAGACAACCCGAGTGGAGTTTCATGCAAATGTTTCGTACGGAAAAAAAAATCGCTAACGCGGCTGTGTGTAGTGGTCACGTGAATGACAAAAGTAACGAAATTGGAAAATCCAATATTAGTGGGCGAGGCAAACTTCGATGGTAGACAGTTGCGATTCGTGTTGTTAATTAATCTGTACTTTGAAGTATTCTCTTTAAAGGTATCACAATATTTCGTTATTTTTTAGGCGTATGTGTAATTAATTACTTGTGAACACACGCTAATCATACATAATTAAGGTATACTACACTCTGACACATTTATATGGTACTTTGCTTTATATTGTCGATTAAGAACCAGAGATAGATACTGTAGATGAGCTGTAGACTGTAGAGGCATACCCTTGGACTCGCGCCCCACACCAGGCGCTACCCCAGTCTCCCCTACCCCATAATGCAGGGGCGTACGGTGAAAAATCTAAGGGGGGTCGAAACGAAAGCGCAGGGGGCAAGCTGAACTCGGAGCAATTTAGCGAAGCTTTCAGAATTCGCGGGGTGCGTTATTTGTGAGTGAAGCGAGCAACTAGGCTGGTGCTAGGGGGCCGCAAAAGGGGAAAAATTTACGTTTTTACGTTCTAGTGCATTAAGTTCAATACCAAGTCTGACAAAATAGGCCTAATTGTAAACGTAGTTTTTGGGCAACACCAGACTATATTCACTCAATATACCATTAGCCTATTGGATTGCGGAACTCCTGAATACGGGCCTGTGAGCATTTCAGATTAAAGAATTAAAAACAAAAATGTTTTTTTTTTCTTTTTCGTAGGATCGTCACACTTTTAATTAAAAAAAAAAGAAGTTATAAATGTATATACTGTATTGAAAAATAAACAATGATATAGGGAACATATAATTACTTAAAGTAACATTTTGTATGCGTTTATTTCTTAACGTTTTCCTTTCAATTTTATATTTTAATATATTTTTTTAACTTAGTTTTTCTTCATCGTTTTCCTTTCAATTTTATATTTTAATATATTTCTTTAACTTAGTTTTTCTTCATCGTTTTTCTCAATAACTAATAGTCAAACTACGCTTTAAGAGCAGTTGTCTGTAAAAATCAAAGAAATTTCAAAAATAGTGGCAGACTAAAAAAATGGATTTCTTTCAAATTTTGCACATGGCTATACATTTGTTAAGAGAAATCAAATATGAAGTTTTATTCACTTTGTGCGTATATTTCCATGGCAACGGGTAAATTTGTAATTTTGGCAATTTTTGTCATTTTTTGCTGTTTTTAAAAGTTAATATTAGTAATAATTTAATACAATATTTCTAATATCCTTATTGTTTATTCATCAAAAATAATGAGTGTGTGTAAGGTCAATACATTGGGTATCTGTTGCATATTTTTACATGTTTTTTGGATTTCGTACTTGGGAGATACCATGTTTTTAAAAAGGGGTGTTTTTCTTTTTTTTTTCAAATTATGAAAAACTTCCAAATTTTAATTGCTCATAAACCTCAAAGTGGTGCTTTTTTAGAACTGATTTTCTACAAATAGGCAGTTTAAATGCTCCCTTAGAGAATTCCAGTTTAAAAAATGTGGGTAATCGAAAAACGTCTGAGCAGTGTTGCCAGAAAAACTGGCATTTTTCATTTAAAAATTTATAATAGTAAAATTTACCAGTTTTTTCCCGCTGATTTATATATAGATTCCTTTGATTAGAACAATAATAAATGTTTTTTTATACCTTAAGTAATGTTGTGATAAATTTTCTGTTTTAGCGTTTAAACCCTTTTAAGGGTAGTTTATAATAATTTCACTTTATACATACCAATTTCTGTCAGTGGTGTCGCCAGTTAGACACAGCACCTTAACCTGCCTGGGAATACCAGTCCCTGAAAAACACCCTCTCCTCCCTAACCAACATCATGCAACAACCCTACCCCTTCTTGTCGGGACAAGTCAGGCATTATCGTGAAAAAATATAAACCTATGTGGTCGTGGTAGGGGTGGTGCCCGACAAGGAGTCCTATGTCCCAGATGGTGGTCCGATTAGAGCATTTAGGGGTTTCAATGGCTTATTTTATTCGATTTTAGAGTCTATTATTAATGTGAAGCTCCCCGACCTCAAAATACGCTGATGTATCTGCTGCAACTCTATGGAATACTCCCCCAGGGAGCTTGAGTTCGTGTTCCATAGGCATTTAATCCAATGACCGGGGGTAGTAATGTGAAGCGCTTGTTGGCGTTGTTGGTGTTAAGTGCTATATAAATCTAACATGTTGTTGTTGTTGTTGTTGTTGTCGTCGTCGTCGTCGTTGTTGTTTATAAAGTCCTACATAAGCTTCTGTGCACTAGAAAATCAGATAGTTACAGGAACTTGAATACAGACTTGATAATCAACCACTGTTGGACAAAGCAGAATTAGGTAATGCTAAAAGGCTTTCAACTGACACTTGCATATTCCCATGGTAGCTTTTTTATCTTCTAATGTCAAATCTTTCAAATAAATTTTCATTTGCTCCAAAAGCTGTCAGTCAACTATTATCTGCCATACAAGAAACATTACATTTACATTCATCAATATATATTTGCAATGGCCAAAAAAATTATTTAAAAATTCAACAATAGATCAATGTAGCAGAGTAGTAGAAATGGAGGAACTGTTGGCAGAGGATGGATAGACATTTAGAGAATATGGAAGAAATGAAGATTTGAAACTTTCAGCTCTACAAGGAGGCGGTAAGAATGCTAATTGTTATATTCGTAAGCGAGATAGATATTTAAGAACATGATCATGAGACTGAACAATTTGACAAAAAGTGAATGGAGTGAAATATTTAAATCTTGTGTTGTACCATGTATTACCATATTGAGCAAATGTGAACCAAGATCACAAAAGGGCTGTAAACGCGTACCCTATCAAAATGTTTTTTTTTTTTTTTATAAATGTAAATGAATAGAGCACATCATTAACTTTGTGATGAGGGCTCAATGACCTTAATCGGACAATTATGTGTAAAGTTAAGATAGTTTTGAATTATAATTATTCTCTACAAACTGGCATATAAAGTTTTGAGCAAAAGGGCTTTAAAAGTACTAAAGAAATTGAAGAAAAATCACAGTAGCAGTAAAAGAAACTCCTTAGCAACAACACAGTTCCCTTTGAGCTATTGATGAATTTAGTAGCCATAAGTGTTTTATTCGTCAAGCCTTGTTAGAGAGGGTGTTTTGTCGGGGTGTGGATGAAAAAGGGACGGGGTGGAGTTATGGCGGAGGGGTCTGGATTTTAAAAAATAAATTTAAAAACATTTTAAAAATACAACATTTTCAGAATTATGCAAGTATTTACAAGTAAAATGATCAGGATTTATATTGTTGCAAGCTACATTGTAGCATCGGGAGGTGGTAAACAAACTGTTTAAGCAAGACAATAATTCCTCCATTCGAACTACCGGTTCCATCATTAAAATACTGGTAGATCACATTAATTACTCTCTATATTCTTTAAAGTCAAAACATTTAGCGTTATTTATGCGTCCGCAATACTTAATTGTATAGTAGGCCTATACCTTTCTTCGTGACCAGTGATCCAAATCAAATTATGCTAAGGGCTGATGGGAAATTATGCTAAATTATACCAAATACC